TGTAAAGAAAAAATATTTTTATTATTTACGTCGACAACTGACAGTGCATCACAGATGGATATATTACACCGAGTTGACCGCAATAGCGTACTGACCCGTTGCTTTTAGACGCCTAGGAGGACCATGGTATTTAAACCCAAACAGGATCGCTTGTGTCGATGTGAAGTAACAAAAGATTTTTTTCTTTACATGGTACATTTTCGCCGTTTAAAGCCGGTGTCATCATTTGTAGTGTCCTATGTTTAACGGCGGTATCGTAAATTCCTACTCGAGGAAGCTACCTCAGAGCTGTCGATTTTCACGCGTTCACCTACAGATTGTTCCAATATCTTCTTTGGGCTAGAATACGCCTTTGTTCAGCCATGTTTCCTTCCCACTGAGTGGTCCAGATTTATCAACTTCAAAAGGAAGAAGAACGAGTGACCTCATCCAGGTCTTCAAATGGGACTTTTCGGTGAGGTTGACGCTATGATCTACTCTCGCTAGTCGTCTTCACTTGGTGATGGTCCTTGACACGAATGTCGACCGGTGCAACAAGCTTCTGGAAACAGATCTATACAGTCGAGTTTTAAGTGTCTCAGCCATAACTCACAGCTTCTACAAAATTCCTCAAAAATTCATCTTTGAACATGCCAATGTTCCAAACGTACCGTAAATCTCCTCCCTCTTTTGTGACCGCAAAATCGTCATGTTTTTGCAAACCTTGAGTAAACAAACTCTACCTTTTCTAAATATGAAATGCAAACGCCCGCCGCCGCAGTTGTGATTTATACACGAGTATTGCGCCTCCCAGACGGCATATTTCGCGAAAATCAATCACTGCTTTTTTCGTTTCCTTAATAAAATTTCATCGCCGATGCACGGCGCTCGTTGTCGATGCCGCATTGGCGCCTCAAGAGGCTCGAAACGTGTTGTGTTTAATACAGTTCGCACGAAAGATTTTTAAAAAAATAAAATCTACGTCTTTGCGAACCTCTCTAAACTTTTTTGATTTGCATATCTGGCCTATCGACTAACTTTTCACAACTTTGTATGATTATAATTCACCGACTGACATCAGCAGAAATCGGTGCTTCTGCCTAACCATGTCCCAGAAGTTTGATCACCTAAGTTCAGAAAATTTCCGTTCTCTCAAAAAACCTCCCTTTATCTAGCCGTTGAGTGCCAATGGTGTCAACCGTCTTGGAGAATTGCTCCTTTGACAATCTTCCGTTACCGCTCGATTCAAAGCCATCAGTAAAACTTTAGTAAAATGCTATTAGTCTGCCAGACTACAGATATTTGGTTGTTTGATTAATGCGCATAAAAATTATATTGTGACCCACAGTTATTAGCGGTAAAGTAAGCTCGTAAATCATGAAGTCATACTTACATTAGTGAGTTATGTGAGGCAAGAAAAAAGTAAACGGGGAGGTACATGCTAGGCGAAAACTATTATATTGAATGTTTAATGCGTGAGGGGTGAGTCTTATACGGTAGACATGAAGTAGGCCGGTAATATTTGAGGAAGAAACTCTTCTGAACTACTTATTTCAAAGGCTTTTCATCAGCTATTTTGAATATAGCCTTTGAAGAGATCTTATTCATTTTAATACATTCTAAGTTCCATTAAATTAATTTCCATTTCTTCTCAAGTAAGAAGTTATTAGAGATTAAATACGTACATGTTTATTGGGTTGTACGAGATTTACTGACAAAAAGTTACCTTTAGTGGCCATGTGCAGAATCTAACCCTCATTATTCTGGCCATGAATAAGATATCAACTGTAAGCAGCCAAAAAGTTCATTTTGCAGAGTTTAAACAGATTATTCAAGAACCATAGGAAAACGATTTTCAAATCACGTGCACATCAGTATTATGCTTAACTTTCTTGACTCAAACAAAATGAATATGAGTAATATAACGCATTACTAATTCAAGACAAACTTTTATGGCGTATTTTGCTCCTAGATGGAGGAGGTGACAGGATGAACATTTCAGTGGGCCACGACTCCATGGTACTTTTGCACATACAGTACCAGAATATGAATAACTCAGATATGACGTGTTTCAGGTTCTAAATGATTGAATTATGATAAGAATGTGATTGAGCAACAGCTGCGTAAACAATTAAAATCTTAAGGCGAGAACGTTGCATAAAAACTTTATTATCGCAGGACTTCATAGTGGTTTTGAGTTTTGCTACACTTAAAACAGCTATAAGTAGCTTCGTGTGATATTAGTCATAACCACTGAAAACCCGTAACTTCTAAACGCAGTTCACTAGGAAAGGAGAGCAAGCAAGTAACTGACTATCAAGAAACAAATCGATAGATGAACTTGATTATCAATGATCAACATTGTTGTCTAAGAGATTCATAGTTTCTTCACACAAAAAACACGCCAAGCGACCAAATGGCAAACTGAAGGCTAGCTAAAAAATTCTGAACAATTCAGCACCTGACTGTAACCGTTGTGAAATTCAGTCTCTATAGCATTTTCTATAGTGAATGACCCCGGTTATTAGATTAAATTCTTTGACTCGGCAGCTCCCACTACCTCCAAGTAATAGTGGCTTCTGAAATACTTGCCTTGATACTATATGGCTCATTCAAAATCGAAAAAGTTTGATAATAGAAAGAATCCCTATCATTTACAACACTACCCTTAGGACAAGTAATTGCAATGGACTTATTTAATTTAATTAATTAATTATTATTAATAATTGATTTAA